GATAAACCAGGGTTAGTCTGCGCCAAGGAGGCAAAATCTACTTTTCTAGACCCTTCGAGGGAAGACAAAAAAAAAAAGATGTTGAAGGACAAGAAGCGGTGGGCGGCAACCAATCAAGGAGAGAAGCAACCTAGAAATAAAGAGAAACTTCCTGAAAGTCAGAACAAGAGGACTGCCTCCAGAAGTTGTGGGTGTTCCATCACTGGAGGCTTTTAAGAAGAAATTGGACAGCCAGTTGTCTGGAATGGTGTAGGTTCTCCTGCTTGAGCAGGGGGTTGGACTAGAAGACCTCTGAGGTCCTTCCAGCCCTAGGATTCCATGATTCTGAGACAGGTAAGCTGCACGACAGACGTTCCTCCCAATCCTGTTGTTCTGCAATTCCCGGTCTTGAAAGAAACGAAACCAGGGAAAACACCTTCCCTCAACAGATGAGCAGCTACGGAAATGGCATCCGGGCACCGCCTGCATGTAAAGCGCATCCGATTACCTGGCATCTGTGAGCAATCAAAGCAGGTGAGTGCGTGTGGCATCTTTGGCGGCGTTTGCTTTGCTCAAATAAAAACACAGTTGGGCATAAACAGGCGTGCGGCATCAAATAAATAGGTAAGCCATCTCCCTGCCTTAGACACACAGATATCTGTGCAGAGTTGAAACAGGCCTCCCAGGGGGGCGGTGGGAAATTCTCTCCCCCCCCCCCCAGAATTCAGAATAGCAGAAGAGGCGCGATCTGGTTTTTGAGGACACTGGACACTGACATATGTAAGGCTGGACATTAAAAGGCACGGGTGAAATATCAAGGTTTAGAATAGAATAGAATAGAATAGAATAGAATAGAATAGAATAGAATAGAATAGAATAGAATAGAATAGAAATAAAGAATAGAATAGAAATAAAGAATAGAATAGAATAGAATAGAACAGAACAGAATATAGAATAGAATAGAAATAAAGAATAGAATAGAATAGAATAGAAATAAAGAATAGAATAGAATAGAATAGAAATAAAGAATAGAATAGAATAGAATAGAATAGAATAGAATAGAACTGATGTCTAGTCTGTGGCTTTTCTTCTGCCTCCCACGGTCATTCCCACAGACCCTCAGAAGTGACCCAGACCTTTGGGCAACTTTGTGCTGGCACATCTCAGCTGCACAGCAGCAACACACCCAGAAACACACTCGCTGGCACTCAGGAGAGTGCAACGGAGGTGGATGGAGAAAGACAAATGAAGCAGGTAGACAACCCCGTTCATACCTATATAGGTCACCTAGCTAATATTCCTGTGCTTGATTTCGGCGAATATTTCCAGCGACGGATGAAATGAAACCTTTAGGGACCGACACACACACACACACACACACACACACACACACACACACAGAGGCCTTGACAATCTGAGCTGCAGCTGCTGTAGCTGCCACCCCAGCCTTTCCGAGTCCCCATACAACGCAGGGAACTCTCCTTTCTTTTCCTTTCCTACCATCTGTGGCCCACTTTGGGTGTTTTCCAGGGTGTGGGTACCACCTGTGGTCCTCTCGATGGCAACAAGGCTGGAGACACCCTCGGATCCATGAAACGCGCAGCTGCGCGCCGACTTCACCCTTCTAGAAACACTGCGTCAGCTTACATTCCACATTTCACACTGGGCCTCTCTCAAAAAGTTTTTGGCACTCGCCGGCCCCCAGCCGGCGTGCCACTTCGCCAGCTGTGCCAGCTTTGATGGTGGGATAGACCCAGGCCTTGTTTTCGTTTCCTACGCATTTGCTTCTCTCCCGTCGCACACTCTCCCAGACCGGCCTACACGGAAGGACTCGGGAGAGCCTCTTCGTTCAAGCCAAGTGTCACCTCGATCCCACAGCTCGTTCATTGTCGTCGGCAGTGCTCAATTTGCGCTTAGACTTATATGCCGCATCATAGTGCTAAGCGGTTTTTAGAGTCAGCCTATGCCCCCCCCCAACAATCTGGGCGTCCTCATTTTACCGACCTCGGAAGGATGGAAGGCTGAGTCAATTTTCAGCCGGTCAGGATCAAACTCCTGGCAGTGGGCAGAGTCAGCCTGCAATCCTGCATTCTAACCACTGCGCCACAAAACCCAATTTGGCTACCGCAATCTTGGTAAGGTTCTGGAACTGCGCAGAAAAACGACGCCTGTCTCTGAATGAGCTTGTTTTTGACAGACCTGGTGCTTGGTGAAGTTAACCTAGATTTACAACCTTGACTGGTTTCCAAAAAGCTAAACAACGCTGGCACAAGCCAACACTCCAGATGATCACAGCAACAATTATATCTCTCTGCCGCTATTTGCACCCAGGAAGTCAACAAGAGTTGATTCTTCTTTAAAGAGATACATCCTTGGAGAGCAGGGACAATTTGAAGACTCAGCTGCCCTTGATGTGAGAGGGTGAAATACTCTTCTGTTCCAGCCTGGCTTAAATTCTTGGCCATCTAAATATGAGGAGAGGTTTGGAAGGCGCTTGCTTCCTCGGTCTGCTGTAAACACTCGGCAGACAACTGGAAGGAAGGGGTGGGGGGTGGGGAAAGACAAAGATTTATACTTAATTACAAATGTTTCACTTCTGGGCATTTCCAGCAACATCTGGAGATGAAAGGTAACCAGCAGTACCTCCCACCAAGATCAAGCAGGCCCAGCGTCCTCTACCAGTCTCCCAAGGTTTATCAACCGACAGCGGGAAGCGCTATTAAAGTATACTGAGAGCACACAGAGAAGAATCGTAATTCTGCCTTTCGGTCTCGCCTAACGTTGAGTAAAACCCAGATCTGTCTGCCTTTCAAGGCAAAATGAGTTAAGGAACTTCTGAAGCTCCCGCGTACAGAGTTAGAGGATCAGTTCTGGTGCCAACCTTTCTCTTAAGGATCTTCTCATCTACTTGAAGTTGCAAAGGACCCAGTCTGCAAAGGAAAGCCAATGCATTTCCCTAACTCACATCTTCTGGGACGGGAAACCCCATAAAATAGACAAGTTGATGGCTTCAACTTGTCCAGCCTAAATGGGACACACAAACTCTGTTTCTGACATGGCTGGCTGGCCAGTCCATCAGCGGAGCACTTAAAAGATGTTCATTAGGACCGAAGCAATGGAGACTAGACCCTTGACCAAGAAAAAGAGAAGTCACTCTTCCTTGTCTGCTCAGACCCAGATGTGTCCCGTTCTGAGCACCCCATTTCAAGGAAGACAGAAGACGGTTAGGGGAGGGCTACCAAGGAGAGGACAGGTCTGGAAACCAAGACCTAGGACAGGGCTGTCCATCCTTGGCAACTTGAAGATTTGTGGACTTCAACCGTGGACTTCCTATGGATTTGTGGACTTCCTGTGGCTGGGAGAGGAATTCCGGGAGTTAAAGTCCACAAGTCTTCAAGGTTGGTCACTTCTGCCCTAGGAGGAATAGTTAAAGGATCTGGGGATCTTTTGGCCTACCAAAGAGACAAAAGGAAGGAGAGAGATGACGGCCATCTTCAAATATCTAAGGACTGTTGCCCCAAAGGAGTGCAATTGTCCTCTGGCATCCCAGAAGACGAGAACCAATGGATTAAGGAAGGACCTCCACGCTAGATGTCAAGAGGAGATTCCTGGCTGCCTAAGCTGGGAGCCAATGCAGCAAGCTATGCCATGAAGGGGTGCGTTCTCCTTCGTTGGAGGTTGCCCAACAGCCATCTGCCAGAAACACTTCCTGGCACAGAGCAGGAAGCTGGCCTAGAGGACCTCCAAGGTCCCTTTGGACTCTATGATTCTACGAACCCGCTAAGCCATCCATCGTGGTTGGCAAACCCCCGAGGCTAGGCTTGCTAGCTCCTCAACAACCCAAGGTTTTGTTTGGATCTCCTTGCCATGGCAGCCGTTAGCGTTAGCTGCCTTTCTTTCCACTGCAACAGCCTGATCAGGTTTGAGAAATCCCTTAACAAGCCAAGCGCAGCCTGCAGACGGTCTCTTTAGAGCTATTCCATTTAAGCCACAGATGTTAAATGAATTCAGCAGACAGACGGAGTAATGGAATGTCGGTCCTTCAACTTCCCGCCTTATAGCAAAAAAACTCATATTTCTCTCTCTCTCTCTCTCTCTCTTTTCTCATCTAATTCCTAAAGCCGCCTCTGGGCTCTCTATTTTGAATTGCAGCATGCTTGTCAGGCTGGCTAACCCAATTTGGAAATAATTAAATTTTAAAATATTAAAGGGATTAAATATATTTCGCCTTCCCTCCTCCGCCTCCTCCAAAAAGGGGGAATTTTCTTTCAGTACAAAACTAGAAGGAGGGACTTTTTTTATATATATATTTATATATATATATTAAAGAAAGGGGGGGGGAAAGGCAGGCACAAAAAAGACCCACACCATGAACCGCACTGCAACACCCCCACCCACCCGATTTGCTACCATTATTTCTCTAGAGGGGTTTGGCAGAGATCCAAGCAGTTAATTTTAAATAAGAGGGGGACCTGGAGGCGGTCTGAAACGGAGGAGGGTTTAAGCCAGTTTGGTGGAAGAAGAACAGACTCTAAAAACGCAAGACGTTTGCAACTCAACCCGCCATATTTCTAATAAAACCGGAATATTTGGAACAGGAGAATTGGCCACACCAGTTCCAATCCGTCTTCCTCTTTTTTCAATTTCTTCTCTCTCTCTCTCTCTCTCTCTCTCTCTCTCTCTCTCTCTCTCTCTCTCTCTCTCTCTCTCTTTTAATTGTCTTGATGGGTCTTCTGGGCAGCTTCCCAGCCGAAGTACCCAGGTATGGCTCCTCTCGGAGACCGTCAAGAATATTCCTCTGAGGTGTGCGAAGCCAACTAGCTTCGTTTAAGGCTCCTTTCCCTTATTCTCCTATTGCCAAAATCCTACCGGAGGCCCAGCCGTGAAAATACAGCTTACCCATTTGCTGCAGTTTACCCATTTAGCTTTATTAACTGCCATGATTTCGATGCGATTTTGTATATTATGCTGGCTGAGGTTCAGGTTTTTTTTGGGTTTTTTTTTGCAATTTAGCAGACAGCCTAGTGGGAACAATCCAGCAGCTGCTGCTTGACGCTCATCGGCAACTCCTTCCATCTAAAAGCTCCCTAAAAGGGTAACAGAAGAACAGAGGTAGAAGGGGCCTTAGAGGTCTTCTAGTCCAACCCCCGGCGCCTAGGTGGGTCCTGACGCCGCCTTTCCAGTCCCCGGAAAGGGCAGCTTCAACCGAAATGGGAAACAGAACAGGCATGAACCTCTTCATCCCAACCGGCCAAATTCAGTCCCGGGATTCTGGAGGCGCGAGAGTTATCTCCCCCCCCCCCTCTATTTGCAAAATAAAACCTACAGTCTGGCAAGGAGAAGGGGGGAGTTTAAAAGAGCAGCATGGAGCAACATGAAATTTTGCAAGTCTAAGACTCCACCCAACACTCAACTAGAATTCCTGGGTTCACGCCCCCACCTTACGCCAGATTCCAGCCGGCCGATATTAACCGTTTAATGTAATTTGTGGACCCACTCGTGGTTGCTTCATAAACGGCACTTGTTTTCCTATTTTTCTTCCGGATGGTTCGCGTGGCGTCACCCGTGTCCCGTATTTTATTTTATTTTTTATAAAGAACGAAAGGGCAAGTCTTGAACCTCAGAGGAGAAGGATAAAGGACACACTGGGACAGGGGGAAACGACGCAGTGGCTGCTGCCCTTAACTGTACAACTCGGAAAGAACTGGGTTGAAACTCTCCGTTCAATTTTCCCACAAGGCCCCAGATCAACTTCCTGGGGGGGGGGGAGGGCATTAGGGCAGCTGATTGTGACGGCGAGAGGTTAGAATTCACCCACTCCGCTGTGGGTCCCACTTCCTGGCAAGAGTACAGGCGACGGGGGGAGAAACAGATCTTCCAATGTGGTTTCCCGTTGGGAGTGCCATGTGGAGCAAAAGAAGCAATTCTCTCCTAGGGCGCAATGGACTCAGAGGCCAGCAAAAAAAGAAAAAGAAGAAAAAAGCCGGAGAGTCCGCCAGCCACTCCGCCTAATTGAAAGTACCGGCCTTTGACCTCCCTAAACGACAGGGACTGTGGGAAAAGGAACTTCTCTCAGGACCCTTGGATAATAGCTGGCTGCAAACTCACCCGTGTGGAGAGGAGCCAAGGAAAAGCCAGCTACGGGGGGAAAACCCTGGCACGGTCCCTTGAGGGTTGAGTCGCAAAAAGGCACGGCTGCCTCTCTGGAAGTCTGTTCCTCTGCCCTTCTTCTTCCTGATCTGCTGCCTGGAAAAAAAATCTCCTGGGACAAAGAGAGGAAGAGAGAGAGAGAGAGAGAAAAAATGAAATTCATCTGAATGGCAAGGCAAAGCGGCTCAGCTTCCCCTTGGAATGGCGCAAAATGAGAAAAGAGCCAAGTTAGCATTGCCTGCAGCACAGGCAACGTGCAAAACTCAAAAAACATCCCAATTTCTGCCGCAAAATGTGCGTCTTTTTTTCACCAGGGGGACGCTGCACGAGGTAAGGGGGCTTCTCTGTTCGCTCCTGAGGTAGCCAAACCTGGGATTTTATGAGCGACGGAAGGGATGCTTCTGAACGGGATGGTTTCGACCTGCCGTGTGCATTTGCCCTGGTTAAACGCTGAGCGGGGCTTGACTGAAGCCATCTTGATGGGCTGGACATTTTGGGGACAGGGGCTGAGTTCTCTTGACAGGTGACAGATGGACAAGCATGGATGCTTGACCTTTTAGCTAACCAGACACACAGATAGGCAGAGACGCACACCAGTCATTAGAATCTAGAAAATGGAGAATGCAGGAGGAGACACACACACACACACACACACACACATATAAACCACCTTACTAAGTTGGGAGGAATCCCTAAACTGGGCTGATGCTGGCAGGGGCCATTTTGTTTCCATCCTCCTGACAAGGGTGGTGAGCAAGACTTTTAACAGGTTAATGGCAGGTTTTTTTTTTACCCCCAAATCTTTTTTTTTTTTTTTTGCTGGTGGGGTAACGAAGAGAAGGACGCCAGGAGCCAGGAAGACCGTAGCAGTGTCTCTTCCAGGGTGCAAAAAAGCTATTTTTTTTCTCTCCCTGCGCCTCCGGTCTGCTGTTCTCCCTTCTCTTACTAAGAACGTGTTTACACATATGTGTCTGCCTTCCCCCACTGAGCTCAGCTGTGCCCAAATGACATCCAATCTGTTCAGGCACCGAAGGAGTGGGAAACGACAGCAGGGCAGGTAGAAGGCAAGCAAGGAGGGCCAGTTTCCAGTTGGGGAGGCTGAAGGCGAGGTCTGAGAGGGGTGGGTGGGTGGGTTGATGGAGAAGGTCTTCTGGGCAGCTCAGAAAGTACCGATTTGGGCACCCAGGCGTCAATTTAACCAGGAGGGGGGAAGAAAAACTGCCCCAAGGCCTTTGTACCACACAGGACACGGAGGCGCACAAGGAAAGAGGACCGAGAGAGGGCACAGGGCCAACGGGGCAGTTTGGCAGAAGGGATTCCCTGGACAGAGCAACTGAAGGTTTATTTAGGAAGGGCAAGAAGAATAAGGATAAGCAGAGTTAAGGAAGGGACAATGGCAGCCTGCCACGCTCAGGAAAATGCCCATGACGAGGTGTAAAACAGCCTACTGATTTAAGGTATCCGGGTCCTGGCTGGCAAAATGTTGAGAGTCCTTGTGCTGAGAAACACAGCAGGAGAGAAAGGCACGAAGGGGAGAGAGGGAGGAGGGGAAACAAAAAAAAAGAAAAGAAAAAGCAAGCTAAAAATGTTCCTACCAAAAGCTCTCCGGATTACCATACAGCTGGAGAGGAAACGGGCGCAGCAAAAGCAGATGCCGGAAATCTGGAGAGACGTACATATAAAACAGGCCCAAGTGGACAGGTGATCTACGGAGACCACCTCTGCACAAGGCAGCCTGGCTCAGGGCTGTGGAGTCGGTAGATAAATGTTCCGACTCCTCAGTTTTTTGTACTTCCGACTCCGACTCCGACTCCCCGACTCCGACTCCTCTGTATTAATATGCGAATGTATTTTATACATTCCTTGAAGGAAAGAAAGGCAACATACATGTCATTACCACAGGACTACTGGCTGGGAAGCCAACAGTCTACTGTATTGAACAGTTTAAGCAAAAGACAAACACAATGANAAAATCTGTAAAATTCCAATCTAAATTTAGTAGGAGTCGGAGTCGGTGCATTGTTTGCCGACTCCGACTCCAGGTACCCAAAATTTCCTCCGACTCCTCGACTCCGACTCCACAGCCCTGCCTGGCTTCCTTCATTTCTTTTAGGTAGGCTAGCAAGGAAGGACTTGGGAAAACCAGGCAGCCCAAAGGCGCGCCCTGCTTTTTGTTGGCCGTACGGAACAGAGGCCAACTCAAGAATCCCGGTTCACCGACCATCCCAAACGACCGATAGCAACACAGACCCAGAGACAATTTCTCATGCCGAGCCTTAAAAATAGGCTGGAGATAACACAGCAGCAGCAGGGAGAGCTATTCTGGGATTCTAAAATAGCCAGAGGGGGGGGGGAAGGAGGTCATTTTTAGAGAAAGCTTATTTTTACTGCAAGGGCTTCTTTGCTGCACAAAGCTCGGCCGGTGCCAAACGCACTCACCCCCGCAGAGACATCCCTGGTATTGTGGGTGTAGCTTGGACGGTCAAGCCTTGTCGTGGCTGGTATGGTCCACATTCCTGGGGGAATCCGATAGCTATAAATTTAGCAAGGGCTACCTCTGCTAGGGGGCTTCCTCTGCTGAGCCTGTTCAGACAAGGCAACCCTCTCTAATTATAATACACATTTTGCCCCCTTTACTGGCTGCCCCTGATATTGGACTGAGAAGGGCAGAGAATTCGCACAATCTCCCCCAAATGAAGGCTAAGCCAAACAGCAATATCCCCCCGGGGACCTAAGTTCAAACTGAGAAGGTCTGTCTGGTTTTTAAAGACGAGATCGGACAGTCCTTTGTCTGGAATGGTATAGAGTCTCCTGCTTGAGCAAGGGGGGCTGGACTAGATGACCTCCGAGGCTGTTATTCTGCTTTCTGTAAGAAGCAGATGGAAAGTCCCAGAGGGGAAACCTTCAGAGGGCAGAGAGTCTCCTGGCTTTGAGCAGGGGGGTGGACTACAACACCCATGCGCTGCGGCAAATAAGAGCTTGCCAATTCAAAAGACAATAGACCGTGTATTATTATTTGTTTTAAAGCATCCTTGGCAATTTTTATACCTCGCTTCTGCGGATCTTTCTGAAAACTCAAGATTTCAAGCACTCACGAAGCACAAAGGGCTATTTCTCTCCTCCCCCCCCCCAGGAAAGACAACAGAGATCATCCATCTTGCCTGTCCACCCGGTCTCTTAGATTTGAAAACTAAAAACTAACCTAAGAACTTAGCTCAGGCCTTACATTTGCTTGGTTCCAGGTTTCTGGCAAAGCCAGAAAAAAGAGATTAATTCAACAGAGGCCTGGACACTGGGAGTGGGAAATATGCATTTCAATATACAGGAGAAACTAAAAAAAACCTAGCATTACCCTTAACGGCTGCACAACTGTGTCTCAATCACACACTTGATATAAGAATTATCTTTCAGCGCTGCTTGACCTTCACTGAGTCATGTGACTTCCCTTATACGTCAGATGACCATCAGATGCTGGTTCTAGACTTCTCAATCTTGGCCACTTGATGGGGGGGGGGGGGAGGAACTTCAACGCCCTGAACACCTCAGCCCTGGTTGGGGAATTCTGGGAGTTGAAGGTGGAGAAACGGTCATAGGGTGACCAATTCTGGGCTCCAAAGGTCCAAGATGGCCAACAGAGATACGCAGATCCTTCTCACTGGTGCCACCTGGAGATTTTGATCACCCAGATATGGTACGCTAAATTCTGAGATTCGGGATGATATGACTTAGCTGTCGGGCCACTTAAGAAAAGCAAAATCCTGCATTTAGTAACAGCAGCTAAAAAAGCTCTGGTTAATAAGATGATAACAAGCTCGGGTACCTCTAAATCATCCTTTCTCCAGGTATATTAAAAACAATAATTGTGCTTTGACTCAACTGGGGAGTTAAAACTGACTTGGAAAGCACCCGTTTTTGTGATCGGGTAGGACGGGGCAAG